TTGGACAACGTTCGTTGGAACAACATCCAGTTGAACCATGCAACCCCTATCGTCACTACACCCCTGTGTAAACAACCACAAGCCTGTTGACTTGTCCTTTATGGTTTACTGGCCTCTCTGCATAGCAGCGTAACCTCAAGAAACCACCCGGAGCCCCTGACACCACCGGGCTACATTTCCGGGGGAGGCACAATTTAAGGGAGAGGAGTTAGCTAGCCAAAACTAGTTACAACTATAAGAAATCCGGGATCCTGACGTTAAACATCGGAGACTATATACGACTTGTTAGATCAAAATAACTTGTAGTAGATATAGCGAATCCATTAAGCAACAAACACACCAAGAATAGGTTGTTAAAGTTTCATTGTATTTACTGTAATATAGCACTGGCCGTTTATTTCAATAAAGCGTTGTTGTTTTTTTAAACGAAAGTTTTATTCTCCTTTGCATTGGACAACGTTCGTTGGAACAACATCCAGTTGAACCATGCAACCCCTATCGTCACTACACCCCTGTGTAAACAACCACAAGCCTGTTGACTTGTCCTTTATGGTTTACTGGCCTCTCTGCATAGCAGCGTAACCTCAAGAAACCACCCGGAGCCGCTGACACTACCGTGCTACATACCCTTCCGGGGGAAGCACAATTTAAGGGGAAAGAGTTAGCTAGCCAAAAGTAGTTACAACTACAAGAAATCCGGGATCCTGACGTTAAACATCGGAGACTATATACGACTTGTTAGATCAAAATAACTTGTAGTAGATATAGCGAATCCATTAAGCAACAAGCACACCAAGAATAGGTTGTTTAAGTTTCCTTGTATTTACTGTAATATAGCACTGGCCGTTTATTTCAATAAAGCGTTGTTGTTTTTTTTAAACGAGAGTTTTATTCTCTCCTTTGCATTGGACAACCCTTGGAACAACATCCAGTTGAACCACGCAACCACTATCGTCACTACACCCCTGAGTGAACACCCACGAGCATATGGACTATGCTAACTTACAGGACTGAAGCTGAATGGAAGATGACAATTTTAACTTGACCTTTTGTTTATCGCGTACGGACAGATGTGAGTAGATTTAACAAATTTACGGCAGAAAAAGTTACTGGAGTTCTTCAGAAGGAGAACTGCCAGATCATCGACACATCGTTTTTCACTTTCGTCAAAGCGGCCAATGTTAATTTCTGTTCTAAGCCCACAGGATGTTTATACCCCAACGGCATGGGAGAATAAAACTAGTAATTTTACAGTTGGTATTAGTACTATCGAGTTGGTATTAGCAATCCATTTTCCCACGTTCATAAATCATAGTTCCATGATTCTGACAATAGAATGGGGTTATTGCCCCAACAGGCCATTAGTTTTATTATAAGACTCAAGTCCTTAAAAACAAAAAGACACAGAAGAAATTTATTTTAAGTCGTCACTTTAGAAAATTTATCTGCTTGTTGAAGCTACCGAAGAAATATTGATGCTGCGAACACGGCGCGATTCAATACGACATATCTTTACTTTTAACATTTTAGCACAAGTATAAATTTAAAAGTTCCGACACTTGACAGCTAGAAAAAAAGGTTACGTACTGAAAAGCTTAATTTATCAACCTGTCAGCCTGGATACAGTAGCTAAAAGCTCGACTAAAGCAGCTTGTCAGGGGTGTATAAAACAGTCGCAGTTTCCTAAAAATTCCATTCTCTCCTGTATCCGGATGACGCAGTCGACTCGACCCTGAGCCTCCGACGCGGGAGAAACCAGCATCTCCACCGGGTATCCCCGAATTCCACGTCTTCGTCGTGAAACAAAATTCAAAGAGGAACCGAAAAAATCTGACGAGCCGAACGAAGAGATGGCGAAGAACTTCGGGGTGCTGGCGCCGAGACATGCAACTCTTAAAAGCTTTTACTATTCTGCACTATCAAACTGTTAAACGAGATTATTTATCGGACCAAGAGATACGATCACTGACAGGAAATGCAAAAACAGACTCGTAATACGGACTTTTTTTCTAGGCGGGCCACACGAGGTGGTAAAAATTTGGCTTACAGACAGACGGACCTAAAAAACTAAACCGTCTTCTAGAAGGTCAGAACACATCCGTCTGAGACACTGATTTCACCATGTATCGCACCAGTAAATACAGAGACTTGAAACGTAACGAATCTTTTCTCAGAGAATACGGACACAAAAGAAAGTTCGTTGTTTACCTCCAAGAAAAGCCATTAAGCTCGATGACTGAATGGCAAGGCTGTTATTAGCATAGGCATCTCTTAATCTCATTATAATTCTGTGATATCGTCGGATTGTAATTGTTACACGCAACCTTTGTGATGCTTTTGTGAATTCAAGGTCTACGAGAGGATTTCGGAAAAAGCCCAAGACACAAACCGCCCTTGTTCGAAAGTTCTGACGAGAAAAACTGTCCAAGTTCAACACTTCTTCCGCCTTAAGGCGTGTCCGACGATTCATGTATTACTCGAAAATTTTGTTGAAATTTCCTTTATATCAATTCCTTCAAAACAAAACGTTCATTCAGAATTCGGCAAGTGGGCAACTTTTAACTATTAATGCCGATGTAGAAAACGGTTCTAAAACACTTCAGAGGCGTAACAACTACAAAATGTGTTATGGCAAGTAATGGTCGTGTTGTGTTTGGAGGCGGGTGCACCTGCCAGCCCGGCCAGGTCAACCAATTCCATCGCAAATCTGGGCAGAATTTCATTCTCCAGGACGTTGTCAAAACATCACAAAAGCATTATCTATTCTACGATCCTTTTAACTGTCAAAATTCATCGATTTGTATATGTGTATTGAACAGTATGTTTTCTTGACTTACTTTTTAAAAAAAGGTGTTATTAAATGTGTATGATGTGAAGATCGACCAGTGAAATTGAGTGAGGATCAGGATCATGTAAATGGTCATCGGATGAAGAAAACACCAAAAAAAGTGCCGTGCTTTCTCACATATAACATCACCAGGGTCTAAATAAAACAGAAATCAAGTTTTTTAATAAGCAATGGCTCACATGGCAAATCCTTTTTCATGATACACAATTTAAGATTTAAATTTCTTACAGTAATGATCGACAGGGTGTCCTTTTTTGGCTGAATTTCTCTTTAACAATGAGGCCATAAAAAAATGTGTTTAATATTCTTTAGTCTAGTTTCAAATCTTTACCTTTCGGAGAAAAATTATACAGGGTACCTCAGGCCCATTTCAACTTCAAAATTTCAAATACGACCCTATACATCCTGAAAAACTTCTCACTTTTTTCTTCACCTTTTCAACTATGAAATGACTAGTTTTATAACACTAAAAATAAAAATAAAAACAAAAATGACTGATATTTATTTTATTTTTACTGTCAGTGATATTATATAAAACTACTCTGGTCAATTCATAGTTCAAGGTTCGGAAAAAAGTGAAAAAATATAAGTTTATATACGTCTGTCTAAAACTCAAGCCCTGAAGAAAGCTAGGCGAAGATTTAAAATTAAAAATATTTTCTTTGACCACATCCCTGATAACAACCAAGAAAACATTATCTGCACAAGTTGGGCGATAAATCAACAAAACGTGTACATCCTGACACATCATTTTGAATGATTTTTTACGCTGAAAACAACGGTGCAATCGGATTTTAAATTGGTCAAAAAATGATAAAGTAATGGCAAAAAGTTAAAAACAAAAGTCATTTGGTTATTATTTATTCAGTGTCATTTTATGACCAATTTAAAATCCGATTGCACCATTGTTTTCAGCGTAAAAAAAATCTTCAAAATGATGTGTCAGGATGTATAGCGTCGTATTTCAAATTTTGAAGTTTAACTGGACCTGAGGTACCCTGCACAATTTTTATCCAAAAGGTAAAGATTCCAAACGACTAAAAAATATTCAACTTTTTTTTTGGTACTGTCATTGGTTCAAGAGAAATTCAGCCATATAAAAGGATGCCCTGTAGATTGAATTTCACAAAAGTTGCAGTCAACAAGAATTCTTTACAGGCCCCAGAATGGGAAATACATATTTTAAATGCATAAGCGTGTGGACATGTGTATTTTCTCATTCTCGGGGCGCTAAATAATGCTTGTTGACATCAACTTTTGTATATTTTAATCTCGACCATTACTAAAATGTAAATCTTAATTTGTATCTGGAAAAAGTATTTCATCTGAGTATTAACAAACTTGTATTTTGTTTTATTTACAACCTGAAGATGTTATAATATATGGCGAAAGCTTTTTTGGTGTTTTCTTCATCCGGTGATCATTTACATCATTACTCAAATTAAAAAGGTGTGTTAAAAGAAAGAATTTTTTTGATCGGTAGATGCTACCATTAGAAAATGAGTTAAACGCGTCGGCCAAACATCATGCGACACGACGTACTCAGATCCAGAACGTTTGGAAGATGTCATTGTTAACTAAATTCGTTTCTGGAGAGTCAGATCCGGATTGTTAATGTAAAAGCCTGCTGCCTGGGCGAGGCGTCCGAGGTCGGCGTCCAAAGCGGATTCCGGGCGGATTCGCGCTTCTCGGGACATCGCGGCCGAATCCTCCCGGTTCGATCTTGAGGACAAGAAAGCGATTAAAAGAAGAAGAATGCGAAAGCGAAAATAGAGAGGGCGGCCGGTAAGCGGAGGTAGGACGAAAGAGAGAGGGGGCAACACAGGTTTTCAATACACATTTCGTAATTGGGCCCGAGAGGACGTTGCCAGCTCTTGCCAAAAGCCGAGGCCGGTGCAGGACGCAGGTAGAGGGTGGCAACCCCCGGTCCCTCCGTCAACAAACCCCGGAATCTGCGCGGCTGGGGCCGGGATCCGCCTCGAGGCGAGACACGTGACGGCATCGCGCGACGCGACTCACCGGCCGGCCTGCGACACCTGAGCCGGGTACGCGTCGCGACGGCCGCACGACCGATGTAAGAAAAGTGACGACGGCGTGGATGAGGTTTGTTTACAAGGTCGAGACGGGAAAAAGTTTACTATAAACAACTCACCGATCGTTTCGCCAGCTATTAATCCGACAGTACACGCAATGCCGATGAAAAGCACTCGCGCCGCCATAAATTCACGCACATTTGGGACGGTTTTCACCTGGAATCGGGGCCGAAAACGCGACGCAGAGCGGACAGGCGCCGAAACCGTTCGTCCGTACCTGACACCGTCTGTCCAAAGACTGGCGAGTGGCTTTCTCTGAGTCACGCCGGTGGCGCAGTGAACGGGCGGGTCGCCATTCCAGCCGGCGCCCCTCCAACCGATAAACAACGGCCCTCGCCCGCCGCTCCGCACCGCCCAAAAGTCGCTCCCGATTTTTACTCCACACTCCACTCAATCATCTTTCACGTTCACCTCTCCAGCATCCTGATGATGTTCTTGACGAGGCGCCTACGTTTAATTCCTCTTCTACGACAGCCCGATGTGGTTTGGACGACGCAAACTGTGGCACAGAGTGGCGAACAGGAAAAAATATTGGGTTGTCCGGAAAATAATGCAGGATTTTAAGTTTTCATTAAAAAAAATCTATATAAAATATTCTGTTTACGTTTACAGGATTACTCATTTGTATGAATGTCAACACTTATTAATCCTCTTCCAAATGATATTGTTTGTTTACCTCTGTAGCATTCCGCTACTTGGAAATAATTCAGTCATCCTTATAATGTCAAAGCGAGAATTTCGTACGATTTTCTTTTACGAGTTTAAACTCGGCCGAAGCGGAGCCCAAACGGCTAGAAACATTAACCAAGTCTGGGGCGAGGGTTGTGTTAATGAGTGCACTGTGCAAAGGTGGTTTAAAAAATTTCGGGAGGGAGATTTCAGCCTTGAAGATGAAGAAGGTCGTGGAAGGCCTTCCTCTCTTAATGATGATGTTCTGCGATCAGTGGTGGGTGCAGAGCAACTCAAAGTCAGTAAAACGACCGTCGCTGACCACCTCAAGGCGATTGGAAAAGTGAAAAAACTCGAAAATTGGGTTCCACACTCATTAAACGATCGCCAAAAAAATCAGCGCTTTGATGTTTGTGCATCACTTCTTTGTCGAAACAAAAATGACCCATTTCTGGCCAGAATTGTTACATGTGACGAAAAGTGGATTCTCTACGATAACACTAGACGTTCTGGACAGTGGCTCGACAAAGGAGAAGCTCCAATACATTTTCCAAAGCCCCCAACTCATCAAAAAAAGGTAATGGTTACGGTATGGTGGGCTTCATTTGGTTTAATACACTACAGCTTCTTAAATCCTGGCGAAACCATCAATGCTGAATCATACTGTAACCAAATTAATACCATGCATCAGAAATTGGCAGTAATGAAGCCCTCTTTGGTCAATCGGAAAGGGCCCATTTTGTTGCATGACAACGCTCGACCACATGTGTCACGTGTAACGTCACAAAAATTATTGGAGCTTGGCTATGAAACTTTGCCTCACCCACCCTACTCTCCGGACCTCTCGCCTACTGACTACCATTTTTTTAGACACCTGGACCACTACTTAGAACACATAATATTCAAAAATCAAACGGAACTGGAAAATGCATTTATTGACTTTATCAATTCTAAAAATTCTGAATTCTACTCAGACGGAATTAATAAGTTACCAACACGTTGGGAGAAATGTATTGAGAGTATGGGAAATTATTTTGATTAAAGAACATTGCTTTAAAGTAACTAGTTTCTTTTTTTTTGTTTAATACCAAAATCCTGCATTATTTTCCGGACAACCCAATATTTATTTCACAGTTTTGAAAAATTATTGTTGGTAATTTTGATTGTAATATATATCTCAAAGTTTCTTTCATTGCTTTTCTTTCAATTCGTCCACAGAATAATAAACACAGCTCCCAAAGTAGCCCTAACCAAAAATCAAAGCTTTCCCACATTTCTGATGTTTTTATATTTTTATAGATATATTTTATAGAGATAGTGAACTATAAATTCTTTATTTTTCGAAAAAAAGGGAAATATAATTTTTTGTCCAGTTTCTCAGGAATTTTGATCCAACACAAAAGTTGCTCCCGAGTTTTACTCCACACTCCACTCAGTCATGTTTCACCTCTCCAGCATCCTGATGATGTTCTTGACGGGCGGCTCCGTTTAATTCCTCTTCTCCGACAGCCCGATGTGGTTTGGACGACACTAACCGTGGCACAGATGGGCAAAAGGGAAAAAATATTTATTTTAAAGTTGTGAAAAATTATGATTGGTAATTTTTTTTCGTATCTCAAAGTTTCTTTCATTGCCTTTCTTTCGCTATCATCCACTGAATAAAACAGCTAAAGTAACCTGAGGGGGCGTCGGTGGCCGCTACGATTTAGGCGTTGACACGGCGCTCACCATTGTAAGGTAAGGGTCCTGGGTTCAAATCCAGCGGCCCTGCATACGAACCCGACATACTTACAAATGCGCTTTTTTTCGAAAACACCGGCACCCTGAGGGTCGATATATCCACTGCAGTCGCGAACCCTCGTAAAAAATATAAAACTATAAAAAAGTAACCCGAACCAAAAATCATAGCTTACACACATTTTTTGATTTTTTTTTTTTTTTATTGAAATATTTTATAGAGATAGTAAACTATAAATTCTTTTCTTTTCGAAAAAAAGAAGAAATTAAATTATTTTTTTGACTAGTTTCTCACGAGCGAAATATTTTTGACTTAAAAGTGTGCTCCCGATTTTTACTTCAACTCCATTCGATTGTATTCCACCTCTCCGATCTCCAGCCTCCTCCTGATGATGATCTTCTTCAGGAGGCGGCTACGTTTAGTTCCTTTTCTTCGGCAGCCCGATATAGTTTGGACGACGCGAATCACACGGCAAATATTTTTAAAGAAATGTGTGGTGATTAGTGACCGTTAATCGATAATTATTCAGAAATCATGGGATGCGATCTGGTGTGATGTAGGTTTCAGAAAAAATTTTCTTTATCGTGCCAACGTTTCGATCTTTATTGAGATCATCTTCAGGGCTCAACATGACACGCAAGAATGGCACAATTATACAGAAGACAAACACTTTGAGCCCTGAAGATGATCTCAATAAAGATCGAAACATTGGCACGATAAAGAAAATGTTTTTCTGAAACCTACATCACACCAGACCGCATCTCACGATTTCTGAATAATTTTTTAAAGAGTTTTGAAAAATTATTGTTGGTAATTTTAATTGTAGTATATATATCAAAGTTTCTTTCATTACGTGCTTTTCAATATCATCCACAGAATAATTAAAAGCTCTTAAAATATCCCGAACCAATAAAAAAAATCAATGCTTACACACTTTTTTATTGTTAATTGCCATATTTTATAGAGATAGTGATCTATAACCTATTTAATTTTCGAAAAAAAAGAGAAAGTAAATGATTTTTTTGGCTAGTTTCTCAAGGGCCAAACGGTTATGATCTAACATTCCAGGATAATGGGAATAGGGACGAAGAGTAGTTTAACTATTTAAAATGGCTCAGCTCCTCAGCAATGTACATTTTCTGAAAGGATTTTTAGACACTGAATTCAATTAATCAATTGTGAAGACAAAAAATAATAACAATAAAACCAAAATTAAAAATCAAATAATAATAAATATATACTCAAAAAAGAACACATTTTCTTCTTTATTCCAAACTATATGTATTTTTATCGGTATATTAATTCCAACATAATTATTTAATGTATTCCAAATTAAACCAGATCACAATTTCAAGAGTTTTAATAAGAAATATTGAGTGCATGTATTTAATAGTGTGAATGGCGAGGGGTGAGTGTGAAAAATAACGTTGAGAGCTTGTTCGGGGTCGATGGCGGAATATTTATAAAAGTACTCCATCGACCCCAATCTACATTAGTTTGAGTATAGTTCGGTGGAGGAATATCAAGTACTCCACCGACCAAACTGAATGAGTGCACTGTATGGATGTATTTCTGTGTTTGAATGTATTTATTTGTATGAATGTAGTGTTTGAAAGGGTAAATAGAATATAGACTTAGTTGGGGGCTGAAATGACCTAGATGTCGGAAGCCCCTGTCAAAAAAAAATTAATCATGATGATTTCAAAAAATATTCATTAAAACTCCTGAAAATCGTTTACAGTTAGAGAAAAATTAAAAGTAACAATTTATAGCATGTTTTTGATCTTAATAACACATTAAAAACTTTAAATTAATACAATAAGTATTTCTTTTTGTCCATTAATTAATGAACAATTATAGAACTAGTGTTATTTACAACTCAACAGATTGCCTACATCAAGTGATAATGTTACCAACACCTTAACACAGTTGCCCAGCTGAGGGAGTATCAATGTTACCAACTTATACCTCAACATATTGCCTACGTCAAGTGATAATGTTACCAACTTATACCTTAACATAGTTACCCAGCTGAGGGAGTATCAATGTTACCAACTTATACCTCAACATATTGCCTACGTCAAGTGATAATGTTACCAACTTATACCTTAACACAGTTGCCCAGCTGAGGGAGTATCAATGTTACCAACTTATACCTCAACATATCGCCTACGTCAAGTGATAATGTTACCAACTTATACCTTAACATAGTTACCCAGCTGAGGGAGTATCAATGTTACCAACTTATACCTTAACATAGTTGCCCAGCTGAGGGAGTATCAATGTTACCAACTTATACCTCAACATATTGCCTACGTCAAGTGATAATGTTACCAACTTATACCTTAACATAGTTGCCCAGCTGAGGGAGTATCAATGTTACCAACTTATACCTCAACATATTGCCTACGTCGAGTGATAATGTTACCAACTTATACCTTAACATAGTTGCCCAGCTGAGGGAGTATCAATGTTACCATCTTATACCTCAACATATTGCCTACATCGAGTGATAATGTTACTAACTTACCCTTAACATCGTTGCCTACCAGGAACGTTACCAAGTCTTACCTCAACAAGTTACCCACCTGAGACAGTTTATAATATGTTACCAATTTATAACTTTAGAAATGTGCTTGGGTGAATTACCCCTGGTTTTTTATCGTTCTTACTCTATTTAACCAGATTGCAAATTTCTTTCCAAACACTTTAAACATGAACTGCAATAACTAGTATCACTGGTAGAACCAGCTGGAGTAGACGGACCAGAAGGATTGAGGAAGAAACCTATAGGCTCTTTGCATTCAAGGACATCACGACAGAACTCAATCACAATATTTCTGTTCTTGATTGTATACTCGATTTCCAACTAACAAAAGGTTGGCCAAAGGAAGAAACTCTTTGACAACAAATGATGTATGCTTGGCAGATTGGCAGTGTTAAACAGAGAATCTCATTTTTAAACCTATGCAATTTTCTTAAATTCAAATTGAGGTTACGACCAGTTACAAGGTTAAAAGGTGTGATCACGATTTAAAAACCACCTCTAGCCGTAGTCATGATGTCTATCAATGATTCGAATAAGCTGTTCATTCCACGCAAAAATATTATTTGCCC